AAATGTCTAAGACTCAGTTCTGATTAATAAATATATGTATGAATATCCAGCTGGTCAGAACTCAGTGATTTGTATGAAGAAACACCTGTGAAGCATAAAATACTTAGTTTAAGCCACTGTTTTAGTCATTTAAATTAGTTATCTATTTTAAATTTCCATAACTATAAAATTCACAATTTCCTCAGCTTTATTTTGAACCATAGTTTGTAAAAAATCAAGCAAGAAATAAGTAAGTTATAAGAATTTTTTATCAGGAAGACACCTCACAGTCCATTGACCTCCATTCGTTGTGTTGAGGCTCCTCAATGCATAACAGAGCTCCAGTGTGTACACATCAATGTAGCTAGCAACGCGCTAGCCACGCCCAATCCAGTAATATATATCAATGGTTTTGAAGCTACCATAATTTCAATCTCACATCTCTGTCAAAATAAGGTAAACTGCAACAACGAGCCCCGTGCCTGAGTTCAAAGACAACCTGGTGTGGGTTCAGAAACAACATGAAAACACTCCAACTGTAATGAGATAATTTCACGTTGGAGCTGCGGTGACACGTTTCCACACACAAACACACCGCTGTCACGTTCACGCGGGCTGTTCATCATTCAAACGGCAGCACCGGTGGAAGATAAAGGGAAGCACCGGATCTCACCAAAGCAGAGGGATAACCGACGTCTATTAATCTTACCTCCTCTCCTGTCAGGTAGTACGCTGAGAGCAGCCCGCCGACGTAACGGATGTTCACCTCGAAGAGCGATGCCTCGCCGTTCTGTTGAACCAAGAGAGAGATCAAATTGTCAGATGTCATAATTCAGTGGAGGGTTGAAGGGGGGGGCGGTCGAAGCGACGGTACTGAGGGGGAGAATGGACACACTGAAGAAACAGGTTTTATTTCTCACTCCACTCATCCTGTTATTGGTTTGGGAAATCTCCGGGGAGTACAACAGCCCAGATGTGCGGATAAATATTTCACACAACATAGACTGAAGTGTCTCAGACAGACGATGATGTGAGCAATATTTATGACTTCCAGATGTTCAGTTTTGCATTTCATTCTTGTTTTATACATTTTAAACACATATCGAGTGATGTAAAACACRTGAAAACAACCTTGATGCTGAAAATGAAATTCCACGTCACAACATTTGCTGTTTTTTTTTAATTGAGGGATAATTCATTTCTGAATTTCAGAAAGTCAGCTTAGAACAAAATGTGAAGTAGCCCACTGAATGTTACTGGAACTGAGTAACAGATGTTTATACACACTAATATTGTTTTATGCCCACCTGAATATTTAACAGATGCTGTAGAYGTTTGCAGCTGCAAGATGTTAACAAGGAAACAAAAAAAATGTAGGACCACACCGACTGATGGTTTACCAAGTTGCAGTCTAAATTTGATAAGAGACACAGGGATGTGATGTTAGACAGAAGTTTTCCTGAATGTTCGGCCAGGTGCTCCACAGAAAACACATTCTTCATTTATCACTGAAACAATGTGTGGACCTCTCCAACAACTTTTATGTGCAGTGTTTTCACATCCATCTACCTATACTTCAGCCTTTAGAAAATGGGATAATGCATGTCGTTAACACATGCATAACAGCTGTAGATTTTGTTTTATGAGATCATTTCATAAAATAAACAGAAAACAATCAAGCTGAACAGCAACAACTGTTGAAGTTTTAAAATCTATCTTGTTACTTAAACTTGAATTGCACTAAAAATATAAATAAAATATTAACGGCCTACTGGTGCAGGTTGCTTTGAACTTTATGCCACTGATGGTTTTACTGAACATGACAATAAATCAGCCTCTCAAAGTAAAACTGAATGTGACTAAATTGCTTATTATCCTATTTTTTTATCCATCAAAATCTGGATCGCAAGAGTGGTTACAGCTTGCTTTACCTTTGCAAACACAAAATCTTCAGCCGAGAATGTTGAGTTCATGAAGCCAGTTTTACTCTGAATCCTCATGGCAGCAGATATTAATTAGGATATGCTGTTGTCTTCCTATGAGCTCTCTGGTCAACCCTGTCCTGTTCATTGGTCACTGCGGGGATAAAACCGTCGAAGTGAACGTCTCTCTAATCACCAGGCTCCCATGCCCCTTCCCTGACTCTGTGTGCTCGTTAGAAAGAAGAAATCCCTCTCCAAAGACGTTCAGATAAAGTCAACTTCAAGAAGTCAGGCCACAGAGCTAAAGCCATGTGATCACACTCTCTGGTGTTTTGTCTCCTCTTTTGTCGACTAAGCTCTTACAATGTTCAGGGTGTTATTGATTAGAGGAGGATTACTAGTTAAAGCTGAACTTTATTTACTGCCGTGTTATGTGAAAAYGCTTTTAAATATTTGATATTGAATGTTTAACAGAAGCTGAGATGTTTTGATGTAAATTTAAAAGCTTTCAAGGTAAATTGTAAATTCATACTAAATGTTTTTATTTCAGCTAAAAGAGAAGTAAGGGACTTCTGTTTGTCAGACAGAATGAATGGGCCTCATGCAAGAACATGTTCATATTCTTCTCTTACTTTTGTTCGTATGAACATGCCACGTCAGATTTAACAARYTCTTCTATCTTCAGGAAAAGTGTGTAAATGAGCTGCGTAAACTGATGAATGTGTATCAGGTGCTCATGCATGAGGAGAGGAGATTAGCATAATTACCACCCCAAAAACACCATATAAGGTAACGTTTCCTGCCCCAGATACCAGGAAGTGTCCATTCATAAAAGACATCGCAAAGCAAAACGAAAAAAAAAAAATAAGAAAAGAAATTAACAAGTTCGGAGACTGAAGTCGTGCTCTTAAGAGATCCAGAAAAGAGAATCTGTCATTTTCAGCAGCATCAGCTGTGGAATTAAAGAAGCTGCTAAAACCGAGGAATGAAATGACTGCTGGTAATGTCGTGTCTCCCATGGGTCGTATACAGTCACAGAAATAAAAACCTAAATCATATTCATCTCTTTCTTCTCCTCTGATTTTTCTTTGTTCAAATACTTTTAAATTAAGTGTAAACACCTGTGTTACGTAGTTTTTGTATATTCAGAAGAAGAGCAGTCGCGCACCGCTCCCCCCCCCACCCCGCAAGTGGTGTCGAAAGTGGTGAAGCAAGTTGTGTCAAATGCGGTTCTGAAAAAAAAAAGCATTATGAAATGTCTCCAAACTTCAATTAATGCATAATTGAATTTGGTTTGTAGTTTGACATCTTCATATTAATATTGAAGTGCTATACAACAGCATTAATAGCCAATTTAATTTATTCTAACCAATTTATGTCRTTAKTCTACATTWTTACATTTAAAATTATAATTCCAGTTCAAACAGAATAGCCTATTGTCAACATAATTATGGAGTGTGATTTATTTTCAACTCGAAATATCTTCAGACTAATGAAATGTGAAAAAAAATCTGTCTGGATAACAGCAGACTGACTGCTCRTAAAATATACGACAGGTCTGGACCACTCGTGAATTTTGTTCGTATCTGAAAAAAATCTTAGAATACGAAAACATTGGTGAATGCCACAAATTCTCCTAAAACACTCGTACGCACAACTTAAGAACAAATCTGTGCGTACGAATGGTTCTTGCATGAGGCCCAGTCCAACGTCACTGTCCCAATTTGTAGATGCCTACTCATGTGGCCAACAAAACGTATATTATAAAACATATGTATCACCATGGTAATGAAGCAGCACTTGTTCACGCAAACATAGGTCTTTTGTAGACTAGACACAGTTGTTTATGTAGCCGACCTGAGCGGCCTATACGGCCCACATAGACTGTGACCAGTGTCAGCCACGGTCTACTTCGGTTGTGACCCATGAATCGAGACACAGCCAACAAGTTTACAATAAACGTGGTGTGCCAAGTTTTATTGTCCCCCTATAGATTTTTTCCCATCAGTCATTAAAGGTTTTTGTTTTGGATGAGAACTTTAAAAAATGCTGGTGCAGTTCTGTTCCCAAACCTTTGCTGTAAATCAGTGGTTCCTAATCTTTTTTCCATCCCTTGGTAGCCCCCAACCTCTTCGAAAGATGCGTTCAATRTTTATGTTTTTTATCAAATTAATAAGAATAAGGTGAACAATACAAACTTTTATTTGGAAAAGCAAAAAAAAATTACTAATACAATGGCTTCTTTGGGCAATTTTTATATACAAACAAATTGGTATCGTCATATCCTCTGAGCAGACAAGGTCATGCATCTCCCAAGCTCGCTGGCGCCCCCCAGGTTGGAAGCCACTGCTCTAAAGTWATACAAACCCTTATTTACATCAAAGCAGATCAATAAAAACAGCAGAGGAAAAAAAAACTTGAATAAGACGAGATTTTGCAGAACAAATCTAAACATTAGCTGAACTCTGCTGCATTCCCATTCCTACATACCAGTATGGTCTATTTCCTTTTCACAGAAAATCTGAAATAACAGGTAACACCGCATGCGTCTCAATATGTCACCATAATTACTRCCTCTAGTGCTGGCTGAAGGTTGGAGCAGAATGGTACTTATTGACTTGGAGACCCATTGAGAAGGAAATTGCTATCTCAAGTGGAGATGAGGAGGAAACTGTAATTGGGTGGCAGAAAGGGCAATTTGCTCTACTTTGAAACGTATGATCAAGAAAGAATGACCCACATCTGTTAATCTCCTCTCACTAATCTCTATATATGACTTCACCTGAAATGACATACTTGGTTATAAAACAAAATGGGATTAACCTAATTCAGCTATTAGCAGACATAATAATCTGTGGGATAATCTGCATGTTTGATGTTGCCAATAAAAGGAGAAAAAAGAGTCTCTTTTGGTTTTCTTGCTGAGATTTTTAGACTTGTGCACATCTGAGGCTGCAGCCTGGGGACCATYGATCTTAAACTTTTTCACCCTGATTGAATCATCGTCTCGTCCCCCCCAGTGTTAAAGGTACTAGCAGCCATTTTTCACTGTTGTTCCTGCGGATGTGCAGAAGGTTTGAGWCCTGCATGCAAACAAAAACGCTTCCTAAACCACGGCTTTTCTAACTCTTGTCGTCTTTCATACAAATCTGTAATTTAAGTAAAATGAGCTGATTTTTTTTTTGCACGTCGACGGCGCTGTGATGTCAGCCGGCTGGTAACACTTCCTGAGACAAAGCACCGCCGCCTCTGGCAGAGCAGCTGAGCTGAGCTGTCTTGCCAACTCAGAAACGAGTAGCCCATTCTGTAATGGTAGTCCAATGGCAGTGATTAGGACCCGAGTGTCTATTTATCATCAGGGATTGTGGCTTCCAGCAGGACAGGCAGAAGGTACAGTGAGAGGGAACAAGTGAGCTGACAAAGGTTTTGTCAGGCTTTTACTTCCCCGTGCGGCCTCCATAAATCACCAGGCAGGCCTCCTAACCCACTTTCATTCTTTCCAATCTGGTGATTTTACCAGCGTACGTTTAGTCAGGAAAACTGGAATGTCCAATCATTTCTTAAACGTCTCCTGCTCATGACGTTCAGCTGTCAGGAAGTGTTTCAAAGCAAGTAGTTTAGGGCTGCAACTAACGATTGTTTTAATAATCAATTAGTCTGTCGATCATTTTTTCGATTAATCGATTAATCGGCCAAATCTTTTAAATGC